TGTGGCGTCACGATTCCGCATCCTGCCGATCCATCTGACGATTGCACGTCTTGCAGAAGTGAGGGAGAAGTCAGATTGTCCAGATCTAACAAATTTGGAACGCCAGAGAAGTCGTTCCAGACGTTGCTGAAGTCGTCTTGCCCTACCGCAGGTAATCCCGTTATCTCGTCCGGTTCGTCCTCTCTCATCCTTTTTCTGGGGCGACCCATCTGCTTTTGCGGCGAGTATGTACAATCAATCTTTTCTCTCTCGCAACGAACACATCTTGGAGTGTGGCCAGAGCATTTCAACTTTCGCGTCCCTGGGCATAGTTGAGCGTCGCGCGGGGCAGATGGAAGCCTAGCTTGAGGTACTCACGGCACTCATCACAAGCCGCATGTAGTTTTGCCGCTGGTTGCTTATGCTGCTGCACCATCGTATAGTGTTGGGTCACGGAGATGCCGAGACCAGAGAAGCAATAGCGCTGAAAGTGGAGATGTCGAACCCAGTATCAGAATGATGTTGTGGTTCAGCATGGGATCGGGGATCGTACTCCGAGGACGCCTAAATTCGCCAGCTCTGTATGCACATCCCCATGAAGAATGGCTGCGCAGACTAGCCCCACCTTGATGACGGATAACGTGTTGGATTGTCGAATACCGACACATGGGGTTCGGGGTCCTTGTCTCCACGCATGTTAGGTAAGCTGTTTGATGGTCGACTATTCCAATCTGAAACATAGCTATCCGCGGCCGCATAGGGCCGATTTGATTGTGCGTAACCTTGGGAAATTCGCTGTGACAGGCGGGGGTCACATGTGAGTTGGCAGTAGTAGAACCAAACACAACAAAACCCGTCAACTCTGAGGGAAAAGCAGGTGCGAACGCTAGCCACAGAAGTGAGGCTACGTGTGACAGGATTCACGCCGAGCCGCGCTCATTGTCCAATGCCATGCTGTGCTGGGCTTTTTGCAGCAGGTCGGAGGCTGAGTACGGCTCCGAATATCGATGGGACTGTGCGAGCCACCCTGCGACCCAGCGCGCTGGATGTGGCAGACAACCTTACTGTTTCACACATTCTACACCGCTCTTGACGTGGTATCTTGGACCTTTTCCAGAGCCTACGCGCAATCGCGCAACTGCGCAGAAAATATTAGTGAAGGCACCAATATCGCCAATAAATCTGAGAACAGAGGCGCATACCGCGCGCATCTGCCAATCCGCGATTGATGGAAAGGGCGCAGCTGCTCCGCCTTCTTTTTCCATCTCGCCCGTCTTGGGTTGGCTCTTCGTAAGCACCTCCACCGGTTGGAATACAGAGTGCAGCTGACTGGGGTACCCCATGTCCGATGGCGCGCGCCCTATTGTAGAGGCGCACAAAAGCTGATGCCTGATTGCTAGTGGTTGCGACTCTGGAGGACGGTACTGTTACCATGGTCGCGAGGTTCGACGAGTATTTTCAGTGGGTAGACGCGAGACCCAAAGTTCTCCAGCCGTCAGGAACAGACGCGATTGTACCTGGGATGTCATGGATAGGCCGCGCAACAGCATCCAAGGGTGTAATCGTGCGCGCTCTGTCGCGAACGTGATGCCTGGTTAGCCGCATCGGGCCCTAGGGCTGATGGAAGATGGCGCCGGTGGGAGAAGTCATTGGTTGGGAGCCACCGACACTGCTGCACCTTTTGTGAGTCACAGCAATCGGCCCTTTCTGGCGCCGCGCTCGCTTCGGGTTACTTTTAATCCCCCACTTCCCTCGCTGCCTGAATTTCTCTTTCTTACTCACCTCATCATACTACACCACGAAACAATACACAAGACAGTCACGAACAATGGCTGCCTTTTAACTTCCCCCGCATCTCGCCGTCCGCTAACCGCCGACATATTAATACCCATTATCCCCACTTCAACTCACACCTCAGAGTCTTCCTTCCCGGAACCTCTGAACTCAAGTCTCGCCTCGCGCAACTTCAGTTCGCCGTCTCCCCTCCCGTTCGACTTCACGTCGACCATCACGGCTTCTCAACAGTCATCATGGCTTTCTTCACCAGCTCCCCACGCCTCCCGGCAACCACAACATACGAGTCAACAAGCATTCGCCCATCCGCAGTCGGACTTCGTGCTCTACGATCAACCTCAGGTCTCCCAGCGGCCTCTGCGAGCACCGAGCGCGCCTCAGCCTGGGCATACGTTTAACAACGGCCAGCACTTCTACGCAAATTCTGCCCCGTCATCTACTACAGAATTCCAACAGCCACGGTTACGCCAACGTCCTCCGGTTCCACTGTTCCCCAGCTCTAGCAACAACATTCCTCAACTGCACAACGTCCCAAACATGGCAGGTACGACGCACGCTTTCCCCGCTCTCGATCGCGAGCTCACGTTCCCCGCAGACTTGAACAGCAACAACTCCTTCGACTCGGGCGCAAGCCTGATGTCCAACTTCAACAACGGAGGCTTTTCTATGGACCAGGTGTCCGCATTCACGGCGATCAACGATCCTTCCGTTGCCGCCGGGTCTACGCGCACCGTGTCCCCCAAGGACATCTTCAATGATGGCTTTGGGTCTGCACCCCCTTCTACGGCGTTTACAAACTTAACTTCCCCTGATATTGGTGATTCCCCCTTCATCAACGATAGCTTCGAGTGCTCCCCGATGTTCAACGGCGAGCCTGTTATTTCCGACACGAGCGACTGGTTCTCCCTGTTCCCCGAGCAGGAGACCAAGATTCCTGATACTGTCTATGCACCTGCTGTCTCTATGCCCATGGACCGCACTATCAGCAGCCAGTCTATGGAGCGATCTGGTTCCTCAAGCACCGGCTCGCCCCTCGTTCTGGACAAGTACTCTCGACGCCAGTCATCTGTCACCAACTCACCTGCAACAAACGGCATCAGCAAGTCTCGTCGGCGCAAGGGTCCTCTGCCCAGCATCACCGTCGACCCTAGCGACAAGATCGCTCTGAAGCGCGCACGCAACACCCTTGCTGCTCGTGAGTCGCGACAACGGAAGTTTGACCATGTCAGCACCCTCGAGGCTCGCAACTCTGAGCTCGAAGCTGAGGTCGAAAAGTGGAAGAGCATTGCTATGGCTCATGGATACAGCGGACAATGAATGTCCTCGTCTCTCTCATATGGTTCCCGGTGGTCGTAAGGAGCTGGTGAAGAAACCAGCCTTGCCTTTCGGCAAAAGTTTTCCTATCCGTGTTGTTTCCCGCGGTATTTCCTTTCGCTTCTGTCGCCTCCCCGTCACTGGATGGATGGTGTTTTCGCGCTTCTGTCCTTATGTTTTATCGCCGGTGTGCAGTCTCCCCCTTGTGGTTTTCGATTGACTCCGCCTGGTGCAGGTGGTAATGTGGTATGGTTCGTTTCTGATGCATTCATAGTTGCGCGGAGAGCTTTCGTGCTGAAGTCTCCGGGATAGTCTCCTTATATATACATTTGCATGATTCACGAATGACTCTTTGCCGCAGTGACTCTTGTGATGTTGTGTGACTCAGCCTTGGCCAACTCAGACTGTGGCGATAGTGACTGTTGCCTATGACTCCCACTTACGCATGTTGGTCGTGACTGATTAGGTGGCCTGTTCGCTTGCACGACATGATGTGCACTGTTGACGTGATAGTATTGCGACGGTACACTAGCTAGGTAGGTTGTCGTTTTGTGCTGGCGGTGAACATAGCCATCTGTGAGAGATGACTGCTGTCCAAGGCATACCCCTGCCTGCACCTGGCCATAGTGAATGGTCATCACGACCTATCTCATGTCGATCAATATTCTGTCTTGATGTGTTCGCATGTGGGATCCACTCGCTTGGTTCGCAGTCCATGGTGGGATATCTCCACCTCACGAACAAAGGCTTCGCCCGTCCCCGCGCATCCTTAGTGCAGCTTCCCACTCTCAATTTTCAAGTCTATAAACGCATGGGATGCTCTAAGCTGCATGAAGTTATTAAATGGCAAGATGGCCGAGTGGTCTAAGGCGCTGCGTTTAGGTCGTTCTAAACATCCTCCGCAGTCTTCACGGGCGTGGGTTCGAATCCCACTCTTGTCAGCACTTCTAACTGCCCAATCTTTTTGCCTTCATCCATGATGTGGGCTTACCTTTTTGCTCATGTCAGAAGCTAAAGGTGGAAGCTAACTCGTGGCTTGCGCTGGCGAGTCTACACAGCAGGTGCGCAGCGCAGATAAGGGCCTATCAAGCGCATAGAGTGCTTTGAATGCAGTAGACTGCGAGATCTTCTTTCTCTTTTGCCTTGAGTCTGCAAACGGACCTCAGCTCACAGCGAATTTTGTTAGCTCGCTTACGCCAAATCTTCCTATTCTTCATCACACCCTCACGATTTGCTCACCCCGGACTATCTTCTACAGTACTACAACCGCCTTCCGTCTATCAGACCGCGTTATCCCGCACAAGGACTCTACACAAACCCAAACATAGCTATCACGCAAAAGCAGTATCGAATTCACCCAGCAGGTACCATGCCTACTCAAACCGACGACTTGCTTCTGTCGGTATGTTATCGCACTCTTTCCATAGTGTCGGGACTTCCAAGGTTATCGGCAATGGAGCGTGGATGCACGATTAACTCAGGCTAGCTGCAATCTTCTCTCCGCAACGCGCTTGCAACATTCGGCCCCAACAGCATACAATATCGCAACATCAAGCTGATAGTGGATGAGTATATGGCCAAGGTCGCTATGGAGGGGCTTTCCATTTCTTCGAGCGAGCCACGTCAGGACGATGAGAAGATGCAGATGGGTTAGAGCGACGCCGTTATCGATATCCACTTCTTTCAATGCGCATTTTTGATACCCCCAGCTACCTTCGAGACCAAGATTGAACACCGGTGTCGTATTGCAGCTATCTAGGTACTGGTCCTTCTACGGGTGGTCCCTTCCATCGGGCTTGTGCCAAGCCCGCGACGGCGTGATCATCAGGAACTCCCGTTCGAAGCAATCCCTTCAATCTCCTTACACGTCCTCGCGATCACATTCCCGACCGATTCGGTTCTACGGGCGACGGCTACCGACCACCATTCCAGCCCGCATTAGGCGCGAAAAGGTCTTCCATGCTGTCACCATCACTTTTCCCAGTCTTCGAGCCTTGAACGCTGTATGACTTGGTGACGGCAATACGATGATCCGGCCTATCATCAGCATGCTTAGTCGCATCTGTATCTGCGTCTGCACTTTGTAGTTCATAACTCTTCTCCCCGCTCCGTTTCACAAACATCTTCAACTTGCGAATCCTGGATCCATCTCCGCTTCCGCTTCCACTCGAAAGGGCCAGTATCCAGGGCATGTACTTCTGTATGAAAGGCTTCAATAGCGCAACGCATGCGCAAATGACTCCGCCGTTGAGCTCGACCGTGGAGAAGATGCATGCCTTGGCCACGTTGTAAGTTGCGTCGGGATCGCTAATCATACTGTAGACGTAGATGATGCGGACGGTTGATATGACGACGACACTACGAAGACTGTCAGCACAGAACGCCAGATGGCGCATTACCCGAGGCAACTTACCCAGATCCCAGAGCGAACACGAAGCCCAGTAATATCTTTTGTTTAACAGGTAGTTGCAGGGCGCGCAACATCGGTATCGGCAGGCACAGGATCAAGAAGTCTGTGATTATGTTTATACAGGCCATAAACAGGTTGAGGTCTGTAAGGCACTTCTGGTCTGTATGGGTCCGCGGATTGCAGGGTCCGGCGGCGACTATGGTGATGGCCACGGAGTATCCAGTGACCAGGACTGCCAATGCGTAGATGGCTGCTTGGACTTTCTGATCTGGATTGAGTCGGTAGTACAGAGCTAATAACGAGAGTTTAGCTAGAGCTGGAGTCCAGACATACACCACCATGATACCGACGAGCATCTTCGTATAGCCCAACATTTGCTGTATAGTCACATTCCACATGTGTTGACCGAAGCCATACTGGAACGCTACATTCGAGGTCAGTTGCGTACTCAGAGTAAGCAGAGGGGCAGACTCACTTCGGAAACAGATGACCATCCATGCGACGCAGCCGCACCAGCTGAGTACCACCAGCGCATCGTCCAAGCCGGTCATACGGCGGATGAATATGCGCGTATACAATCGCAATCCGAGCACGAAGGTGGAAAGTATCGTCATGACTGCATATACCACGACGATTCTCTTCTGAAGATCCGACCGTTCACCACTGAAGTCTGCCTCAACGCCAGGTGGCGCATCCAGAACGCCCGACATGGTCGTAATTGCGGTCATCACAGCCGGAGAATTTCTTGGATTCACAGAAGGAGTCGGAACTTTGAAGGGAAGGCGTGATCGCTAGGACCTTGGGTTTTCTCCCGGACATGCATCGAACTTATCTTACACGCAGCCTGAGTTACCTTGCCAGGTGCCAGCGATCTTAAGACGGGGGTACACGCAAGATCCTTTCCGTACAACCTTGCCGTTCAACAGTGAAACCGTAAGATGCTGGCGCATTCTCGGCAACGCTCATGGATATGCGCATCTCCCGAAATTGCTCGGTTGGAGGCTCGAATCGAATACCAGATAAGATATCCATGAAATCATGGAATGAGGAACCATGTCCTGTTCTCCCATTCAGCCTATGCGCTCTAAGCGAATGTAGCCCTGCCGCCACCTCGCCTAGCAGACACTTATGTACATGCTTACATTTTTCCAGGCCGTCTTTGAACAGGATAAGCGCCACTCAGCAGCACCAAGTCTGATCTACGCACCAAAGTCACACACGTCGCGTTACGGCGCAACCGCATCCAATAATGCGGCGCTCGGAGAATTGAGGCTACACCACATGCTTCCTTTCGCAGACGACTAAACGGCTTTGGTCCGCTAGAGAACTCCACGATATCGACACGTTGGAAGACTAACTAGACGTGAGTTCGCACCGAGACGCTAGTCGGCTATGTACGATAGTGTGCGACAAAACCCAGTAATCCAATGCTGACCCTTGCACACTAATTACTATGCGGCAAGATTCCTGTTGCGGAGCACCAGCTGCAGTCGCAATCTACGGTAAGAAGGATGAACAGAGACCTGGCCATGTCCCACTTCATAACCCGGGGCTGCCGATCGCGTTCTCGTACCAGTCTCCACGTGTGACTCTGGGCTTCCGAGCAAACGCGTCGCACATGCAAACCTTCCACGTTTTGTACTCCCGATAAAAACAACACACACTGAAATCACAACGGTGCGATACTGACTCCCAGGGCTCCCTTATTCAAGGGGTTGTGGTATGTGGCGGTCGCCTTCACTTGATAGCAACCGAGAAATAGCCCTCGGCCACCGCGCTCTAGCACTCTATACACTGAACTTCAGCAACCCCAAACAAGATCCCGGTGCCATCCACAAGAAACCATGGGCTCGGTTCCTACCGCTGTTTTTGTGCTCGCACCTTTATCGGCGGTCATCCTGCACGAGTTCATTTTGCGACGAGTGGAAGTCGACCATTTGACCCTTCAGATCCTTGGCCTAGCGATTACCGCATACTGGGTTCTATCATATTACACTGGATTCATCGCCGCGACACTGGTGACGAGTTCATTCTGGGTTCCACTATGGCTGTACATCGGAGCGTACCGTGCCTTCTTTCACCCACTCAACGACTACCCTGGACCTTGGGCTGCGAAACTATCGAGATGGTGGGCCGTCAAGCAGACATATGACAGCAGCTTGCATTACCATCGAGTCCTTCAGCGGCTGCAAGGCCAATACGGCGATTATGTTAGGACGGGTCTGTCCAACCCGTGTACTTCCTTCCACATCCAGTGCTAACACCGTCAGGGCCACGTGAGCTCACGATTTTCGATGCAGCTGCGATCCAATCAATCCTCGGAGCTCAGTCACAGACGTCAAAAGGACCGTTCTTTGACGTCATGGAAAAGTCGTTGCACCTCAATCGCGACAAGGCGTTCCACCGCCAGCGCCGCAGGATCTGGGACAATGCGATGAAGGCATCGCTTTCCGACTACGCCCCCCAAGTCGAGAACTTCACAGACCAGCTACTCACAAGATTGCGCAATGAAGAGGGGAGGTCGATTCCGCTGCTTGTCTATGCAAGCTACTATAGCTACGACGTCATGGCAGCGCTGGCCTTTGGCAAGCCCATGGGCTTCATCAAAGGCGAACAAAGCGACGTCGCTGCGAGTATTCTCGCTACTATGATGGGCAGCGTCCAGGCTTTGGGATACATGTATCTGATGCCGTGGCTAATGAATACAGTTGGTGTTCTTACCTCATTCGCCGGACCCATGAAGGAATGGCGAGACTGGAGCGTCAGCCAGATGAAAGCGCGCATGCAGGTACATATTCCTGCCCTACATCTCAATCGAAGCCATTGCTAACAACCTCCTTTAGGTCCGAGATGCGAAGCCGGACCTAATCTCTCATCTCATCACCTCCACGCCCAAAACACCTGAAGGTCGCGAACTTCTCTACGGCGAATCACGCCTCATAATCTCCGCTGGCAGCGAGACCACATCCACGGCCCTAACCTTCCTCTTCATGCATCTCGCCACACACCCACACTACATGGCTGCTGTCCGCGCCGAGTTCCTCTCCAACATCAACACCTACGACTGCCAGCGACCCCTGCCAATGCTAGAAGCTTGTATCCAAGAATCGATGCGCATGTGGCCCTCCGTCTTCTTCGGCTCCCAACGCATCACACCACCACAAGGCATGGAGATAAACGGGCACTTCATCCCAGGAAACATGATAGTACATATTCCCATCTTTCCGCTGTTGCGGGACGCGAGAAACTTTGTTGCACCTGATCAGTTCATACCTGAGCGCTGGACTACGAAGCCGGAGTTGGTACTGAACAGGCAGGCATTCATTCCTTTCTCAACAGGTTCGCATAGCTGTGCTGGGAAGGCTCTGTCGTTGATGGAGTTGAGGAGTGTGATTGGGAGGGTCGTGGCGGAGTTTGATGTCGTGCTTGATGAGGGGACGGATGTGAATGCTTACTGGGAGGGTATTTTGGATCACTTCACTGCGGGTGCGCCGCCGATGATGGTCAGATTTATGAAGGCGCAGTAAGTGCGTGTGGGATCTGGTATAGAGGGCGTTTACGGCTCATTTGTCTTTTACGTTAAAATAAATCCTATCTAGCTGCAGCGTGGGAAACTACAAAGAAGTCTACTTTGCTGTTAGTCGTCCCAGAATTCCTATTTTGTACTACCTTGATCTTGGCTGCGACTGTACTTACTGCAGCTGCCCTATTTTTGACCTGTTCATCAAAAGGTACAGATCCGCCTTGAGGCCTTCTAGACGCGATTGTCTGTTGTTCTTACTAAGTGCGCTGTTAGAGCCACAGAAAGTGCATCGACCACAACAGCTCAGGACGCTGCGGTGAGAAAGCCCCCTTTTTTAACTCGTACCGGGGACTCTGTCAGCATGTCGCCAATGCCCACGCGCATGATGGTGTGGCGACAACATATGCTGAGTCGACAATCCAAGACGGCACCGCGAAAATCCCATGCCCGAGTGGATGCGGGCATCTCTCGGTGACTCACCAAAAGGCTAAGCACCATGCCAGAACCGCCGAGTGTACCGCCACTAAGCCCACAAACATGCAATGCCCGTGGAAGAACTACAACGGATGCCCAAAGACCGGTAATGCACACTAAAGGCGCAATCATCAACGTGACCACTAGAAAGATACCCGGGGACTCTACTAATGTTGTAAAGCTAGATGTAGCAGGTTTTCGGCATGCCTTTACTAAGTAGTAGCTTTGCAAATTTATAATAAGAGCTTGTAATCGCTCTCTCAGTCCTCGTGGCGCATCGTAGATACATGTTGCAAAACTGGGCGCAGTCTTGCAAAAGCGATCCAAACCAGCAAAGCCACCACTGTCTCAGCAAGTATCGCGAACCTGAAAACACCAATACCCAAGCCATCAATAACAGCGCCGATAGCAAAAGGCGAGAGTGCAGCTCCAACCTGCCCAAGAGAAGCCACAAAAGACACAGCTGCAACATGTAGCTCAGCTGGTAGCAATCGTGTAAGTACAACAACGCCAGACGGAAACATTGGACCCATGATAAAACCCAACGTCGTCATCAAAGCCACAGATGCGGCCGCAGATGATAGAGCAGCGAAGAGTACATCGATACCGATAGCGATGAGGAAGTAAAGACCAGTCGCGCGACGCACTCCCATCTTATCCGTAGCGAAACCCAGAGTCAGTCGTCCAACTGCCATGCCAATCCAGTACCCCGAGGAAGAGAGACCAGCGACATAAGCGGTAGAGTGGCGGCTGCGCAGCATGAAGGAAACGATCCAACCCGAAATCGCTGTCTCAATGCCAACGTAAGTGAGGAAGTACGCTGCGCAGAACCAAGTCGCTCGGTATTTGAACACGGCCTTGACGTCGACCTTGGGGTCCTGAGACTTGGACTGGTTGCTTTCGCGATAGACCGATGCAGTCTCGTTACGGAAAGCAATGACCAAGACCAGGAATGAGAGAGTGCATGCTCCAGCCTATACTCATCAGCATAAAACCCCAATATCCAGTATCCTTCAACATACCAAGATAGAATACCACGTCCACCACATAAACCCCCTAGTCGTCAAAACCGTAACCACAAACGGCCCCAGCGCCCCACCAACACTATAACTCCCATGCAACAGCCCAGAAACCGTATTCGCCTTCTCCATACTCCCAGCCCACGCACACCAACTTCCATCCAGTAGACCCGTACCCAGTCCTTGGAACGTAAACGCAAGCAACAAAAGACCGAAACTAGGATGCGTCGCTGCAGTCGCCGTAGCCAAGATCTGCAACAGCGGACCAGCTACTGCAATTCCCCTTTGCCCGAAGCGGTAATGGACGGTATCGCTGCATTGTGCTGCAATGACGTAGCCGATGGGGCTGACGAGGAAGATGGATGAGACTTGCAGATCTGTGAGGTTGTAGTGGCGTGAGAGGAGTGGCAGGACGGCGCCGATGGAAGAGTTGAAGAGACCGAGTGTGACGAAGGAGTACATGGCTGCTGCAATTTTGAAAATGAGTCGCGTGTCCATTGTGCTGTCGTTGGCATTTTCGGTTTCTTCTGAGTGGCCAGTGGGCCTGGTGACGACGATGAGAGGAGAGGTCTCGTTGTCGGTGGGTTGATGGGCCATTTTGTTGCTACGTTGCGCGTTCGGGACGCGCTGTTGCTGTTGGACGGAGGAGAGGAGGTCAGTACAAGCTTATCACGAGTTCATATCTAATGCAACA